CACACCACGTTGAAGGATATTACTTTTGATCAAACTTATTGATTAAAAGGGGGTAGGTCAACTCTCTTACAAGTTGATCTTGCAAGTCCTATTGTTCGGATCTTGCAGTTGTTGAAGAAGCTTGACCTTCGAAGGAACAACAAAGCCAGCACGAGTGCAGTAGCAACATTGGTCTTGTGAAGATATACCGTGCAGAAATTCACACAAGTGTAACTGTTGGTTCATTATTCAACAACCAACTACATAGTGGATTTTGAGGACGTAGAAGGATTACCCCACCTTCGAACCTCGTTAAAGTTTGCGTGTCTCTCTCTCTTATCTTTATTCTTACTTGCAATTATATTAACTGTGAAAACTAACCTATCCATATTAATTACTGTTCACTCCACCCACCAAATTCCGCACACAATCTAAAGTTCACAAGGACTCTTGATTAACACTCATTTTCTCGTTTTCAAAAGAAACAAAAAAAAGATTTTAAACTTGTAACAAAGTCTATTCACCCCCCCCCCCTCTAGACTTTGTATTTCACCACTTTGGGACCACCAGTCTCCTCCCCTGATTCAGGCTCTTCAAGTTGTCTCTTCCTTGGTTTAGTCAAGGCCCAACCTCTTGGGCCAGCCTAAAGGTGATGCACATGAGCTCCAATGACCCAGCGCCATTCGGGCGCGATATTTGGGCCGCCCGTTGGGTATCGGCCCATCACTTGTACATTCCCGTTGGCCCGCTAAAACTATTTTCAAATAGTATAATTCTCTTGTTTCTACTGGCATGTATTGTTGGCAGTCTTTTGATGGTCTTTGTTGCCTCGAAAACCATGGAGAAATTATGGTCACAAAAACACTTTTGTTTAGTTTAGTTATTACAAAATTTATAAACTTATATATATTAATTAGGATAGTATATAAAAAAGACAGGTGCATGTAAAATTTAAAGTAACGATTTTTGTATTTCATTGCCCGTGATTTTTAGGGAACCTATGAACGATGTTTATAATTTTTGTAAATGTATGTTGAATTGCTAAAATAAAATAATAATCGTAAAAATATGCACCTTTTTTATGTTCCTTTTTGTTAAAGTATTCATTTTCTCATTTTTCTTTCATCTCCAGTTGATATTGTCCATCTCAGTCTCATGAAGTTAATTTTCCATGTTTCCAATTGTTATAGAAAACTTGGATGCTACTACCAACAATATTTTAAAAAAACTGAAAGATAAAGTTTAAATACTTATATGTCTTTTTTAATCACAATATTGATCCTCTTTGAACACGTATGCATTTAAACTTGAGTGAGGGTGAATGGATGCAATGATACATTTCTTAAATTATATCTGAATATTTTGAAATTAAATTTTACGGGTATCAATTATTTTCATTAATATGACTTTAAAATTAATTAATTTAAGTAACAAATTCCAAAAAGAGGGCTAGTTATATCGCAAATTATTATATTCAATGTTTTATGAAATTTATAAGATTTAGAATTTAAAAAAAGGGCAAGTAATGTCGCAAATTATTATATTTAATATTTTATTAAAATTATCAGATTTAGCTCGAAAAAAATCATATTCTCCAAAGTGTTCGAATGTTCTCTGAAAAAAATTTCTAATGTTTACTCTCTAACCAAAATTATATGGTTATATTTTTTGTTTATTTTCTATTGATTTCAATTTTTCAATATTCAAATTAAATTGAAGGGTACTGTTATTTTAGTCTCAAAATTTATAAATAATATTTACATTGGCTTTTTTATTTTAAAATTGAGTTATATTTAAAGATTTTTTTCCAAAAATAATTAACTTAGACTAATAATATAACTCAATTTTAAAATAAAAAAGGTTAAAAATGAAAAAAACAATGTTTTTTATTATATAACATATGCCTTATTTATACATTGATAACATACTTTTAAATGCACACACATCTTAGTAACTTTATATTATAAAATGTATTTTTGAACATATTATTGTCATTTAGAATATGACAGTTTTAGGTAGTTTATATTCAATCACCCGTTTCATTTAGAATAAAGGTCAATTAAACATGTATAGTCTTACCATAATTAATTTAAATTCTAAAATAAAAAATAATTATATCTCATCCCCAATATAATAATATTCTTGGTAAGATATGCATTGGGTCAATCTCATAGTATACGTATTATCCATTTGTCTAAAAATATAGTGCAAAATCATGACACATATAATTCTCTTAAAAAATATAGTATCAAGTCTTTTAGTCACCTAATTATAAATTATAAATTTCTTTGACTAATCTCAAAATAGTCTTTTCAAATAGGGTATTTTCCAAAATCAATGTTATTAAGCATTAATTATCTATATAGTATTTATAGTTAGATTTATTACTTAGTATTTTTCTGTGTATGTTTGTTAAATGGATGTTTAGTGAAGGAAATTTAGGTATTTTCAATATTTAAATGTAGAGTAATTTTTCAAAATGACCATTTCGCATGAACCTTTTTCCAATTTAGGTCTCTATTATAATAATTATAATTTTATCCCAATTGTGCATTTAGGGGCACCTTAATGTTTTGTGTCCCTCTATTAGTCACTCGTGTTCACGCTAGTAAATTTCGAATGAGGATGACCTCGCCTCTGATCCCCCACTTCATATCTATGTAAAGTTTTGATAAAATTCACGTATGTTTTTATCTCATGCGAATATTTGTTTTGTGTGATTTTAAAAAGTAGTAGTTCTGACTTCAATGAAGTCAAAAGTGAAAATACGTATGATTATTTTAAATTGTTTTTGTGATTTTTCTTTGTGAAAACCCATGCAACTATATTTGTTTCGTTGTTAAAAATAAGTTCATATCAAGTAAAAAATGGATGTAAAATACATTTGATTATTTTTACGTGATAATTTTTAAAAATTTTATGTGAAAAAACTATTAGTTTTGAAGTTGATTTTAAAAAATTTATACTATTATTTTAATTATTTTAGAAGTTTATTTTATAAAATTTTTAATCACAAAAATGAATTTTAGTTCTCACATAATTGTACAAAATTTCATGTAGGTTCTAATTTCTTCAATAATCCTCCCTTTGTGTTTGGATTTGATCCTCTCAATTGACTTTTCTTGTCAATTTTGAATACTTTAACCTCGATATATAGAACAAACATTGTCTTTCGATAGAAATGCATTACCAATAACTTCTTTTTGAAACTAAGGAACTCTTAATGTTTAGTAGCTCCTATTTTGAAAATAAAAACATATGCATTTTTATTTTGATATTTTCTCCATGTTTATTCCAATTCTGGTATAGAGTATGTTTTTCATAAAAATTATAGCGACACTGTACATAATACACATACTCCTTATACAACTTAAATTGTATCTACCCATATTTTGATTAAAATTACCACGCCATTCAAATGTTAATATGAGGCGGATGATTTGTTAAAATGTTGCCATGTAGATTCGCCGCTTCTCGCTATTCTAAGAGTTCAACTCTTAAATTTAGTATATAAAGATAAAGATATTTCCTTTATGAAAATACTCTCATTTAAAGACTATCAATACCGTGATGTGAATATATTAATATCTCAAACAAAATTTAAATTTTGATAGATTTTTTATACTCCCTATTATATATTTAAAAAATTTTATTTATTAAAAAAGTTACTAAACACATTAAACCACAGTTTTCATATTAAAAATTATCTAATATACATAAACCCATAATGCACTAAATTTCTTCAATACGTTTCTCATCTTTAACTAGTGGTATAAGATGAGCTACACCAAAGTATATTTTAGCTCAATAAATTTTCATACAAAAGAATAAATTATTCATTTTTTAAAAAATTATATTTTACTCAAAAGGCTTTTAATATTATTTTCATTTTTATGAAAAAACACCCGAGCTAATCATTTATAATTTATTTTTATGATTAATTTATTAATTTTTTTTTTGAAAAATTACATTTACTTCATTTACATAATTTTCAATAAATTCATAAGTCTATAATTTTAATATAAAACATATTTTTTTAAGCTCATCATATTTTAAAGGTTATCATAAATAAATTTCCATAAATAATTAATGAGAATTTAAAGCATGCCATGCAATTTATTCATGCGTCATGTCATTTAAAAATTGTCATGTAAGATGACACATGTCAACTTTTTGGAGACATGAGTCTCATATATTATAGTAAAAGATGTAATGCACATTTCATCTTTTTAAAGATTAAAGTTTCATCTTTTTATATAAAGGATTTATTGAATAATTTAATTTTTAATAATTTAATATAAAGGATTTATTGAATTTTTATATTTAGTAATTTTATTTTTTGATTAAAAATAAAAGTTTAATCCCATTTCAACTATTATTAAATGGAGTCTAACTCATAAATCAATTGCCACATAATATGCCCATATTATTCAACATGTATACCCCATATTGTGCCACATGTCAAGCTCTTATGCATTCAACTCTCAAATTTATATATAAAGCAGATTTCTTAAAAGTGTTTATTCTTGGCCAAGGAAATGTGGAATAAGGATTATTTTCTAATTTTTAAAAGAACTTAAGATATTTCCATTGGTTCATTCTGAATTTATTATCTTGGAAAATATTTTCTTATATAACAAATTTGTGCTACAAACATTGAGAAGTTGAGTGTCAAGTGAGTTTTCATTCTTTTAAGTTGACGAGTTCTAAAAACCTTACTATATGCTTTAAACCAAAAAGAAGTCAAAGTGGAAGTTAACTACTTCACTATTTTTAACAATGGGTTGCTCACCTGGCGATTAAGTGCAGAAGAGTACGATCTGTTTTTAAGATGGTTTTTAATAGAAAGTTTGTCATAAATTGGTTGAAGCGGGGACGTTTCAAGATTTAAGGATATGTTTGGATGAGAAAAGAAAATAAAAGGAAATAAAATGAGGAGAAAGAAAATAGAGAGAAAAGAAAATTGGTGTTTGGATGGATAGAAAATAAAGAGAAAATAAGGTGGAAAATCTTCTCCTCTCCTTGTGCACTTTTCTCTTCGGTTCCAGGGAGAAAATTTTGAAGGAAAAACTCACTCTCACTTTCTTTCTTCCTCCCATTTTCTTTTCTTTCCAAACAAGAGAATTTATATTGTGATTTGTGTTTTCTCTTCCTCCATTTTCTTTCTCTCCATTTTCTCTCCTTCCAAACAAAGCATAAGTGCGGAAATATTTGTTAGGTCCAGAATTGTACATATTTTTTACCCCTTATTTTTGTGCATTTTAGTTCACATTTATAGGTTATATCTGATTATTAAGATTAAATTTGTCCTAATTCCATTTTGAACATTTCGAATATTTTGAAGCAAAAATAGTATTTTAACAATCGGTGGGGTTCTAGTGACACCGGCTTTTGGTGACACTAGCGGTGCCACTGTCATTTTGGGGCACTTCCTGTGCTCCGTTCGTAAAATTGACGGTTCCTACCCCCTTAACCCACCCCCTAAATCCCCCCGTTCCTACCCCTAACCAAAATGATAGTGACACCAGAGTGTCACCGTACTACGGTGTCACTAGAACCCCACCGTTTAACAATATACTAGTATTTCTACATGTTCCACGCACGGGTTTAGACGACATTTTTTTTATTCTACAATGTGGATCTTGATTTTTATTTAGCATATTATTTGAAGGTCAATATAAATGACCAAGATTGAGGGTTGTCAAGTGACGCGACTAACCAGAGGGCAACACCGTGGCAAGAAAGCCCGAGAAAACGGCTAAGTCTGGGACATAAGGTCTGCTGATCGCATGAGCGACCAGGGGATCTTGGAGATATGGCGACGCCAAAGGGGTTAAAATAACCCGGAAATGGCTAAGTCAAAAGAGGCGAGGTATCCTCTGATTAAGGTCTGAGGAAACCTGAACGTCTAAAATGAGATGCGAAAGAGAAGAAGATGAAACTTGTAAGTAAACAGGTAACATCAAAATAAATTCATAAAAATGTTCATTACATTTCAAGGATAATCTCTTGCATCTGCTCCAATACAGTTGAGAACAATCTCTACATATCTTCAAAAGGAGGGATATTTTCCCATACATTTCTCACAATGGAAAAGAACAATCTAAAACTTTGCGAGCAGCAGAGGCCCAGGAAGGACGAAAGGTCTGGGGGGACAGGCAGGTTTGAAGGGTAGTTCTGCAGCTGTATAGGCCGGCAAAACCCCGACCACTGGCCGTCCAGGGCGACCACCTTTCTTCCCCGTCATAGAACGGGAGTGGTCGCCCCCAGCCTCGGCAAAAACCCACCGCCCTTCTCCTGCCAAGGAAGGACGGGGGGCGACTCACTTCTGTGTGAACCCCAACCAGCATCACCCAGACGAGGATGGAGATCCTGAAGCCGCTCGAGTTACTCCAGGTCGCCTAAGGGCCTTCCGGGGAGGTGAGCGACCAGTGGGGCGGGGTAGGGAAGAACCCAGTTCTTCCCCTACCACAACCTCATCTTTAGGCCTCACTGGTGAACTGGTGCGACTTTCGTTAGTCCACCACTCCAGACTTGCGTAATATGCGCACTCATGCTCCAAGAGGGTTAGGTGCTCATTGTGGAAGCTCTCCCAGGCCATGCATTGCAGTGAATGGAGGGGGCATGGGGCATCCCAGTCAATCCGCCCGTCAGGCAGACGATTGGCGGAGAGGGCCTTGTACGCCTCGCTGAAGTCTTCATAAGGGTTTGGTGGTATTGGAGGCGGTTTCACCGATGGCCACTACCAGCGAGGCAATCGGCGACAGAATTCGTAAGGGTCTAGCCCCCCCAATCATTGGAACAAAATGAAGGCTAGGGGGGCTTATAAATAGGCCCAGGTGAAGAAACCGAAGAGACGGTCAAGTCCCCAGGCAGCTGAACCGATAAAGCAGCTTTGAGCCGCGCGAAGGTCCAATCAGAGACTGCAAGAGGCATTGGGTCAGTTGGGCGGCACGCTGGCCAATCCTTAGATTGGGCCTGATTAGGTAATCGGGCTGGGAGTAGAAGTTGGGCCCTAACAAAAACGCCCATGTTAACCAGCTAAGCTAAAGAAGAGAGCGCAGAAGTAAAACATAGAAAAAGAAAATCACATGGAAAATCCAGAAAATCAAACAACATAGGAGCATTGTATCAAAACGACAGATCATTCCAAAAGGAAAAAAGAAAAAAAGCAAGTGTTTATGAAGCTATGGTGGAACAACATGGGAGGTTAGACGGCCGAGCCAGAATGTCCACCCGCCTTGGACATGGCTAAGCTGACCCCGGGGTTCTGGTCGCCCTGTCCACCTTCCACTTCTTCTTCTTCCTCTTCTTCAGACGCGCTTGAGCTCCCTCCATCCAAGTAAGGACTGGGGTCGAACTCGGCCAAGGAACGGCAAGGAGGGGGAAAGCCGAGGTCGGGGAGAGAGAATCCTTTGGGGAGCTGGGCCAGTTTGTCGCGGAAGACCTGTTGGGCACGGAAGAGTCCACAATTGAAGGACTTGGTCCCCTCCCTGACCATCCATTGAGCCCCAGGTTCAGTTTTGAGCCAAGCGGCTGTTAGCTCGTCCATCCGCTCCATCGCGACCATCGTGAAATCAGGAGAAGACTTGAAGTATTCCACCGTTTCCTCTCCGTGGTGGACCCGGTCGCTCCTCTCCACTTCCAACTGCTGGATCAGGTCAGACTTCTCCCTTTCCAGCTCGACCACGCGAGCAGAAACTGATTCCACCTCCGAGGACAAGGAGGCCTTGTCTGCCTCAAGGGCGACGCAGCGGTTCTCCTGGGAGGTTCTCTCCACAGCGAGCGCCGCGCAGCGATTTTCCTTCTCCTCCAGCTCCCTTGTGAGTCGAGCGACCTCCTCCGGCAAATCTTTCTGCCTGGCCTCCGATGTCTTCAACGCCTCGCCCAAGGCAGCTTAGTGACCCCGTCTCCTACCGACCACCTTAATCATCCCCAGCGTGGCCTACACCAAGGCATGGGGGTTAAGAACGTAAAAAGAAGAAGGGGTGCAGAGAGAATCAGTGCAAGTACCTGGCTTAGCCTCAAGAGGACCATGTTATCAAGGTCGTCCTCAGAACCGGCCGAGATGCGGGCCTGGTCCTCCGCGGGCAGGGTGATCAGGGTCTCTAGCTGCACGTCCCCTAAGCTTTGGGGCAGAGGAGGAATGCAAATCCTCGTCGAGCGACCCCCGGTTGCCACCTCGTAGGTCACCGCGGGAGGCGAAGGAGGTCGCTCCGAGGCAACACCTTGGGAACACCCAGTGAGGTCGCCACCCGGCATCACAGAGTGAGGAGGGGACTGGCCCGTCATTGTACCCGTTTCCAGGGTAGCATCATCCTAATCCTCCACTACAATTACAGCCGGCTCTCGGGAAGGACTCTCCCTGTGGTGGGACGAAGAGCGTTTGCCCTGGCCCTTCCCCTCTCTCTTCCTCTTCCTCCCTGCAGTGAAGCGACTGAGTAGGAGATCGCCGTCCATCTCTTCTCCTGAATCTTGTAACTCCACTGGAAACAAAGGAAATGGTCAGCCTTGGAAAAAGATAAACCAAACATCCAGACAAAAGAAAAGGTCAATTACCAAAAGGACCTCAGTCAAGACCTTCTTTAGGGATGTCCTTCAGCTGATCAGGCTGATGCCCCCCCGGGGATGTCCCTTAGTAGGTCGGGTTGGTGATGAAACTCATCCCGAACAAACTCAAACCCCAACCCGGCAAGGGTTTCCTCTGTCACCACCTCTTTGATGTTCATAACTCCCTTATTGCAGAGTTGGCGAGTAATGGACAAAAGGGTGGCATCGGATGGGGGGCATAGGATGCGGCGGAAGGAAGGGCGCCCTGAACCCATGAAAGGAGATTCGGGCCCCGTCGAGACGAAAACGAAGAAGGGTTTCCAGTCTTTAGTCGACCCCTTCTTGTCACTAGCAAAGAGCTTACTGGACCTCTAGGAAAGGCTGGCATAGGACGCCCAATCCTTATGGCCCTTGGTTAGCTTGAAAGTGAATAGGAAGTGGTCCAAAGTTAGTTTCACCCCTACAACCTTACACCGGACCAGATAACCGGCGATGTACCGATGAGAGTTGGGGACCAATTGACACGGAAGAAGGTCCACCACGTTGAGGAATTCGATCAACAACGGGTGGAGTGGGAAGCGCAGCCCCTTCTTCAAAGACACCAGATGGACCGTGAAGAACCCAGTAGGAGCGTCCAGGGCGGTTTGGGTGCTGGTAGGTCTCAGGACTTCAATGGAAGGTCCGACCATGTCAGTAGCATCGGCGAACCCTCGGTCAGTAATCTGGCAATGGCACAGCGCCATGATGTTTTCGTCCAATCCAACCCTCGAGCCCTCATCTACCGGGGTTGAGGAAGGGAATTGCTTCCTCAATCGACACCGTTTATGGCCAGACGCGGCCGACGGCGACAGATGGGGTGATTGAGTATGGCCGGGGTTACGGCCAGAGGCCGATTGATCGGCTTGGCGAGAATTGGACGATGGGGTGGTCGATTCGGAATCTGAAACAATCATGGCGGCGAGAAAAGGAACTGACCTGGAAAGGAAGAAGAACGGGTCGGGTAGCAGTGGAATTGCAGACAAATGATGGTGCGAAAACGAAAGAAAGAGATGGCGCCCAGCGGCGGTTTTTAACTGACAATGGGGAGGCGAAGCGGCAAGTCATGATTACCTATTCGTGGAGATCGTGCCCAAGTGTCACGCGGAGCCCAAGAAACGGCCCGGATCCGCGCTGGAGCGCCCAGGTGGACTTCGTAAACTCCCCAGTCCTCAATTTGGCCCAGTCGAGGACTGAGGAGTTGGGGGGCTTGTGATGGGCCGATACCCACCGGGCGGCCCAAATGAATCATTTAAGCAACTTGGGTCAGGCGCTTGGAGGATATCCAGGCTCAGGCCGGCCCATGGAATCAGGCCCGGTCACTTCCGGCCCAGGAACAGCTGGCAGAGTCAATCCGGAAGAGGAGATGGAACTGAATGGCGGAGACGAAGCCGGAAAAAGGGGATCGTGCCATTGACGGGATAGACTCCATTGATTATGCATTACCTTAATTGTCTAGGCTCATGTATAAATAGAGGAGACCCGGAAGGGAAGCTAAGGATACATACTCAATTCTCGAATTCTCGTTCTTAATTAGATTCTTACGATCCGCTTTCCGAGTCGGATCATTTGGTGGATTTATTGTCCATCAGGTACTTTTTTAATTTTATAGCTGGATGTAATGTACCTGATTTTCAACATACGTCTCTGGTGTTATCTAATGATGAGTTGATAGATTCTACCATTCTTGTTCAAGAGGCAGAAACATCAGAATTAATTGGCAAAAAAGTAAATTCAGAGAAAGAGGCATTTGATTTTTATAATGAATATGCATTTAGGATTGGTTTTGGTATTCGTTATTCAACTTTAAGGAAAGGTCAGAATGGTTTGAGTATCAGGAGGAGAGAGTTTTGTTGTAATAAAGAAGGTAAAAAAAGATCAAAGGGGATGTTGGGAAAAAATTCACCAAAGTTGATCGACGCACTAGTTGTCAAGCTAAAGTTTACTTTGAATTGAAGGATAGTGGTGATTGGGTTGTAGTTAGACATTTGATGGAACACAATCATTCGTTTTGCCCTTCTTCATTGGTTCATCATGTAAGATCACATAGAGATATTTCTCAAGAACAGCTATCATATCTTAATCTTTTAAAACAACAAGGGGTTAAAGTTGCTGATGCATTTCGTTGTTTGAGGACAGAAGCTGGGGGGTCACCTGCGGTTGGTTTTGCATTGAGAGATGTTTATAACAATTTGGAAAAAGACGCTAAACGGTGCTTTGATGGTACATATGCTAATACTTTAGTTAAGTATTTTAGGCAACGACAAAGAAACGAGGAAGATTTTTTCTTTGCCTTTGAGGTTGATTTTGAAGGTTCATTGGTCAGTTTTTTTGGAGGGACAAGCAGATGAAGTAAGATTATTGTTTAATTGGTGACTTGATTGTGCATGATACAACATATCGTACAAACAAATATGAAATGATTTGTGGGCCATTTGTTGGGGTTAACAACCACACTCATAACTGTATGTTTGGTTGTGGGTTTTTATTGAATGAAAGAATTGAATCTTTTGAATGGTTGTTTCACACTTTTCTAGAAGCAATGGGTGGGTTGCATCCTAAGACTATTATGACTGACCAGTCTTTTGCAATGTCTTCTACAATTTCTTCAGCATTCCCTAATTCCAAACATCGTCTATGTGTATGGCACATTTCTGAAAATTCCAAGAAGCATATAAGGGATTTGAGGAACCAGGATGGTTTTTTTGGATCTTTTCGATCATGTTCTGAAACTTTGTCATACCATTCCTGAGTTTGACTATTACTGGAATAGGTATGTTCATTTGGTATTGTCTTTTGTATCTTGAGTGACATTCTTTTATTATATATTATTGTCATTTTCATTATAAATTTTATTCTTTTTTCCAGGTTGGCTACAGAGTATTCGTGTATGAATAATGATTGGTTAAAGAAGCTTTATAACCTTCGAGACAAGTGGTGCCTAGCATTTTCAAAGGATTTCTTCTCTGCTGGTATTTTGTCTTCCCAACGTAGTGAGTCAACCAATCATGCCTTGTCTAGGAAAGTAAGTGTAACTGCTACTCTATGTGATTTTTATCATTTCTTCTGTGAAACTGTGAGTGAATGGCGTAGTCATGAGAGGAGTGATAATGAACGATGTTGGGAGGGATTTCCAGAGATTGCTATCCCATATGTGAGTTCACTCTATCGAGCCTCAAGAGTCTACTCCATTGATGCATACATGTTAATTGAGAAGGAATTTATCAAAAGCTCGTCTCTTAAACATGAGATCAGACATTCAGATGGCAGTTTGCTTCGTTATTTGGTGTATGTGCCAACTGACAGTGTTTTTCCATACTTTGTTCTCTATGATACTTCCACTGACAGTGCTAGTTGTACGTGCAAGTACTTTGAAGAAGCTAGTTTGTTAAGTTTGGATTTTTGTATAAACCGTGGTTGGTAAAATAGACGTTACAGTTTAAAAAATAAATATAAAGATTTTATAATATAATAATAATAAATACGGGAAAGTTCAAGTGATTTTATAATATAATAATAATAAATACGGGAAACCCCCCACCTGGCCCCGGCCCGAACACACACCCCACCCCCTTTAATTGCACCCCACAAGTTGATTTTGACTTTGGAGTCAAATTAATAATAATAATAATAATACATACATACATAATTTCCTAAGTAAAAACAGAAAACCCACCCTACCATCTAAAGTCTAAATGTAGATAGTGAGAAGACTGCTCCGATACCAATTGGTGGTCCCAAAGTGGTGAAATACAAAGTCTAGAGGGGGGTGAATAGACTTTGTTACAAGTTTAAAATCTTTTTTGTTTCTTTTGAAAACGAGAAAATGAGTGTTAATCTAGAGTCCTTATGAACTTTAGATTGTAAGCGGAATTTGGTGGGTGGAGTGAGCAGTAATTAATATGGATAGGTTAGTTTTCACAGTTAATATAATTGCAAGTAAGAATAAAGATAAGAGAGAGAGACACGATAACTTTAACGAGGTTCGAAGGTGGGGTAATCCTTCTACGTCCTCAAAATCCACTATGTAGTTGGTTGTTGAATAATGAACCAACAGTTACACTTGTGTGAATTTCTGCACGGTATATCTTCACAAGACCAATGTTGCTACTGCACTCGTGCTGGCTTTGTTGTTCCTTCGAAGGTCAAGCTTCTTCAACAACTGCAAGATCCGAACAATAGGACTTGCAAGATCAACTTGTAAGAGAGTTGANTAATTATCTTCAATCTAGCCGTTGAAAATCAAGAGATTGATTTTTCCTTACTAACGGGTAGAATTTCTTCATTCAAGACTTAGATAATTATCTAAGTCCTTTCTCACTTGTCCGTTTTCTGAGAATTCCGGTCTTCCTTGAGGCATCCGGTTCTTCGCTGACAAATCCGGAGAAGTCATTCTCAGACTTCCGGGTGAGAAGGAGATCCGAGCTAGTCTTCCGATTTGAATGACTTAGCTTTCAGCGGGTTGTAGCGAGAAACCCTTACTTGTCTCTGATACTTCCGATCAAGATATCCAATTTTCATATCACTGAATTTGATCAAGTCTTCAGGCATCAAAACGCTTAAAGAAATATCACAATTTTATTGGAAATCTCAAGAGCTTGGTTTTGACAATATTTCTTAAAAAGAAAAATTACATTGAATATTGGGGGAGGCTTAAAGTCCCTAATACATTCTAAATACATCATCATCAAAATCTATAATATTTTTCCCAACAATTTCCCCCTTTTTGATGATGACAGACAAGTGTTTAAGAGTTCTGGTCGCTGTACTAGGAACTAATTTTATAACTTTCTTTTAGTTTCTCATAATATAAAGCTTGTTAACAAAAACTCTTAAACAAATACAATTCAAATTACAATAATTCCTAAACCAAGTTTTTGTCTTGAGATTTTGTGATCTCTTCCGCCACTGACTATTTTCAGCTTCAGCAGATTCTGCTTGGCAAAGCGGTTGGCGTTGCGTTTGATAGATCTTTAACATCCAAAGTGGATATTTAAGATCTTGGAAGCAACACATCTCTCAAAATAAGAAGAAAGATAGAGAGAGTGTGTTGTTCCAGAGAAGGTGTATGGTCTAATACTGAAAAATACGAGATTTCCACCATAGACCTTCTCTACTGCCGAGATTCTCACCATAGACCTTAAAAGTCTTTTCTTCTCAATAGGCTTCTTCCATTGCTGTCTATGAGGGTGAGAAAGAAAAGTTTCTCCATTGAGGATATTTTTCTTGGTGTATTCCTTAGACAGTGAGTTTGAAGACTTTTCATATTGGGAGAGTTGTTTGTGATGAAAGTGGATTGAGATATCTTGATTTAAATAGGGGAGGAGGAGTTTCACGGGTTCCATTAAGTGGGTAGTTGGAATGGTGAGAGTAAATGAGTTTCAACTTCCAAGAAGTTGAAAAGTAGAAGGAATCTTTTACCAGTTACCAAGGAATTGAAACTGTTTTAATTTGAAAATCAGTTTCGATTGGTTTGAGAAACGTAACTGTTTTAGTTTGGCTAAGCCCAAAAGAGTGGCCCAAAAAGAAAAGAAAGCTATGTACTAAAGGGAAATTATTCCTATTGGGTTCTCAAGGCCCAAAATAAGACTATCATTTTTCATTCCCTATAGTTCTAATTTCTACTTAGGACGAGGTAGCTGATAAGTCGTGTTTGGGTTAATACTTTTTATTTAATTTTAGGCATTTTTAATATTTTTAGTGTTTAATTTTTAGTTGTTTAGCTTAGTTTTATTTTAATTTCTATTTTTACAATCTTTTATTTTTCTTTCATAAATAGTAGTTTTTTAATCACTTTTTTACATTCTATTATTTTTATTTTATTTTTCCTAACCCAAGTTATCAGATATCTTATTTTTGGAGAAAAGTATAGCAAAAAGGCCAAAGTGCAGTTCAAGTTTGAAAAGAATAGATTGATTTTGGGCCGGAGCCCAAACCCAACTTTAATGAAATTAGCCCAACCACTCCGTACCAATCCAATCTCAGGCACCAGGAAAAGAAAGAAAAGGAGTCTACGACTCCTTCGTCGTCGCCAACGGAACTAGCAAAAACCGGCGAAGCATTCAACACTCCAACGTTCGGCTCCATCAATTTCGTCACAATCAATTGCCAACGGGAAGAAAAGTTTTGCCTATAAATTGAGCACAGAATCATCAGATTGAGGGGGGAAAACACGGGGAGCATCGACGATTGAGAGCCGCGGCTTAGGCCGCGGCGGTGGGCGGTGGAGGAGGCGACACCCAGCGCGGGGACGGTAGCGGCTACAGCTCCGGCCGGATATGGGCGGCGATCTCCAACTCCGTTCAAGCTCCAATTTCTTCAATTAATTCATCTTCTTCAACAATTGGTAACCCTTATTTGTCAATTTCTTTTTCTTCTCCATTTCATTGTAAAAATGTTGTTTCAATTGAAGTTTACATTTTTTTGCTTGTTGTGTTAATTTCGAAAATTCCAAAATGGTTGGTGTTTCTTTATGGGTTTTTTTATGTTATATTAAATCCCTTATGAATGAAAATTGATTCTTACTAGTTTCTTCAATTTTTGCGCAAATTGATGTTAAATTGGTTGAATTATAAATTTGATTTCATAAGTAGGTTGGTATGTCGAATTCGGTTATCATTGAAGCTAATTTAGCTCCATATTTTAGTTAAATGATTCTCGAATTCATACGTGAATCTTTTTTGTGACTTGTGTTTTGTAAAATTTTAAGGTAAATGAACTTCTTAGCCACATAAGTTGAATGTTTTCCTTAAGATTCGTTATAGAGTGATTGTTTATGTTTTGGTGTTTTTGTTTGTTATTTTCATAAAAATTGGGATTGTTTAAGCGCAATAAACAACTCTTGATTTAATGAAAATATGTAATGTTCTTTTATGTGAATAGATTACAATTCTTATGCTTGAGTAGTTCAAGGAGACCTGCAAAATATTTTCATCATTAGACGTTAAAGTTTATTAAAGTGTATCAAATGTTCTTCATGAATACTTTGTGCATGGGAGTTAGAATGAAAGAAAGATTCGCTCTTTTATAAACTTTTTCATCTTTTGGAATCATTGTTTGAG